TCAATAGTCACATACAAAGGAATCAAGACGAGGCGCCGTGCTAAAGACAATAGATTTTTCGCAAAAAAGCACGGCGCCTCGTCTTGATTCCTTTGTATGTGACTATTGATGCGTAATTCGCAAGTCGGCTGTTGTTGGATTCCCTATGGAAAACGGTGAAGAGATTGGAACTAGGGTAGTCAGTGCCTTAGTACTAGTCCCACTCGTTCAACTGACAAAGGAAGCCCAAAAATCGAAAAAGCACCGAGACGGGCAATGACATCCAATCAGATTATAATTCTTCATCACTGTTTTTCACATAGAGATGAGGAAATGCACGTTGTACTTCTGAAAATTATCCATGGTTTGCTGGAAAAGCTGTCGATGAATGACCTTCAGTACATCATGCCATCCATAACAGCCATGTCAACCAGTAGTAGCGTGGTATGCCGGGAACTCTTGTATGACATCCTTATATGGATATACGATATGTACAGGTATTGAAAGCATACAAAAGGTGCTTGTTTATACGTTTATTTGCTTGGTTTTGAAATATCGTGTGTTATTCTGTCTAGAAAGTGATATGTATTGTCTTATTCATTCATTTATCCCATTCATTCGTTCATTTATCCCATTATCCATTCATCCATTTAGTTATTTATCTAAACGTACATTTGATGTCTATTTGTTAGAAATGACCAAATGTTTAGGGAGGAAGAAGGCGCCGAAGAAGTCCTTGCCTCAGCTAAAGATTATTTGTTGCAAGGTTTAATCGACAAAAATAAAGAATTGCGGTGAGTGTGTTGTTACGTTATTCATCAAAGCTGTTGTGAAAAAATTACAAAGTTGAAACATTGTAACTTTGATGCTCTTCACGTTATTGTTTATCCAGAATAAGTTACATTCTTGAATGTTCCAAAGAATTTTCCAAGGTTTTAACACTGTTTTATTTCTCAGACTAAAAATGCAGAACTTTTGGAGCGACGAAACACGTCTTCCCAACACAACCCTGGAGAGGCTTGTAGATGTTCTAAGTGCTATGTATTCACCAAATACAGAATCGCAGGTCATTTTAGACTATTGTCGAAGTCATGCCAACATCTTTGTTCATTGCGCTCTGTAAATGTTGCGATATTAACTCAATAGTGGTGTTTTGTTTAATGTTTTTAGTACTTGAGCTACACGACCAACCTTATACTGCATCTTACCTCTGTCAGTCCTGATTTCAACCGACTCATTTTTGAGCAGCCTCTATCAGAATGCAAGTTTGAGGTTCGTAATGTACATTTTCTGTGCTTGATTTTGACTATTCCCTTCTTGCAGCCTGTATTTACTTCATTCTCTTTGCTGTATTATAATAATTTCGCTCTATACATTTGTTTCAGGATTACCCAATTGACTACTCATGGCACCAGAGAAACGCGAGCATGACCCCCCTGTTCATTGCTACACAGGGCTCTATTGCTACAGGAATGAGTCAGAGCCAGGGGGGTTCCATGATGGCTGGCATGGTCAGAGCTACTCAATCTCGAGTCTTTACTCCAACCCAAGATATGGAAAAATCTCAAACATTTGATTGGCTCAATCCAAGTAGTCAGGTATGTCTCTCTAAATGACAGGTGTCAATCACTCAATGGAAAATCTGTATTTCTAATATTTCTATGTTTAGGTTGATGGGCAGCCTGTTCGTCCTTCATTTGTGGTTGGGACATCTGAGACCCAGTCCTCTCTCTTATTTGTCAAAACTCCTGACCTTAAAAGGAAGTACAAGCAGGTACCACGTGATTTTGGTAGTAAGAGACTGGGAACCACACAGTCAAGCACACAATCTGACCCACAAGGTGATGCCAGCGTTCATCGCTAAATGTAAAGAAGCCTGTTTTTCTCATTTTTTTATGATCTCATTTATTTTCAGATTTAAACGAACAGCAAGAAATCCTAAAACTGAAAAGACGATTTCTGAAGAATGACGCCATTAGCAGGAACTTCTTTGCAAAACGAGAAATGATGAGAAAGAAAATGCGAGAGGTAGTGTGTCCAAACATAGCTACAGCAAAATGTATGCAGTAACTCCTTCATTTGGTTTCCATTTTGTTTTTATGCTTTTTTTCAGGAAATCAAAAGCCGTCAGCAGGCATCACGTGATAGTCACGTGGTCATGTACCGGAAGTACCGTGTGGGAGATCTCCCTGACATTCAAATAAAGCATTCCGAGCTTATTGCCCCTTTACAAGCTGTTGCCCAGGTAACATATAAACCGACCAAGAATTTCATCTTCATTGAGTTTAAAGTATTTTCTTTTGGATAGAATGACAGCAACATTGCAAAGCTTTTGTTTTCATCACTGGTGCAAGCCATTTTCAAAGAAGCAGAGCAAGAAGGTGTGGATAGCGTGCGCGATATACAATCAGCACTAACAAACATGGCGGAATCCTCGACGCAATATTTTGCACCATTCGTGTCTAGTATACAGGGWATTTGCTTCAATCTCTCTAAGCTGTCCATGAAGCCTTCATTAGTTAGTATTTCATCGCTCACCAGCCTTCAACAACCCGTCGGGATCATGCTCCTTGAGAGACAACTTCTCACAAATGTTGACGACGGAGCTAAAAAACCAAAACAAGCTCGATTAGAAAGCAGAACAGACTCTGGAAACACAGAGACTTGGCTTGAACTTGCCAAGTTGTATCGGTCAATAGGAGAGTATGATGTAGTTCAGGGAATTTTTAGTGATCACATTGGCACACAAGCTATTACTAAGAAGGCATTGGAATTTGAAGCACGTGGGGACTACGCCCAGGCGCTCAAGTATTATAACCAGGCAATGGACTGTGAAGAATGGACTAATGATGAACTAGTCCAGGAAGAAGAGGATCTATGGGATGATGCTAGACTTAAGGTATAGTAATAATACCCTATACTAGGCATAAGAGAAAAGGGACATTATCAACAGGACTCAGATATTTTCCAGGGCTGGGCTGTTCAAAGCGCGATTAGCGCTAATCCTGAGTTAACTCTTAGAAAACCTATGGAGTTAACCTGGATTAACTCTAATTGGGCTTTGAACAACCCGGCAGAGACTCCTTCATATATGTTTAGTCATCTGTTAATGAAAATCGCTTATTATTTCAGTGTTTTGATCAACTATCTCAGTGGGAGAATCTCGAAAAGTTTTCTTTAATAAATATCGACGAGAACGATCCACCTGACCTGGATAAAGTGTGGTCAGAAACATTCTACCAGGAACATTATCTGCCATTTTTAGTTAGAAGTAAACTAAAGCAGTGTTGTGAAGGTGGAGATACTACTGTCTTGGGTCGGTTTATGAATCGAGCATCACAATTCGAGGAGAGACAAGCTTTCATTGAAGTAAGAATTTTTTATTTTAGTAATAGTATCTTAAAGACATAAGTTGGTGTGAGATAGGCACGACGAAAGAAATTTGAAGAATTAGGAAGTTGTCCTTCAGTAGCACTATATAGTTAAAATAAGTGGGCCATGCACTACTGTAAAAAATAAAAAAGGGCATCAAACCTATATCAAAGCCTATTTGATTTTCCACAGTAGTGTACGGGCCTCATCACTCATTTTAAAGAAATTTGAATTATATTCTCGGCACATTCTTTCTCGTACAGAGTCGCCATAGTGAAGATCTGGCTTTACTGCATATCTTAAACAGTGACTACGACAGAGCAAGATACTACGTGGCCAACTGTTTACAAGGATTTCTAATGGTAAATGGACATAAATTTGAGAAGATTTGCCAAGTGTTTTAGGCTTGTAATTTACCTTTTTATTTTCCTGTTTAGGATTGGGCGGGCCTTGACTCAATGATGGTAGGAAGTCGCTTGGCAAAGTTACAATCACTGCAGACAATCACTGAAATGAAGGAATTCCTGGACTTCGTTGCCAATGAAGGTTGGTAGAGCTATTTGTTAGCCTCGTCCCAGGCTTCTCTCCTCTCCAGCTTAACTACACTTATATATCGCAGAAGAGTTTCGGGGAGTAGCTAGATTTTAGCTTCTTATGAAATCATTTCTAAAATTATAGAACAGTTGTCATAAGTTGGCCATTTTATCACGTTTTAGATAATTTCAGCAGTGCGTTGCCACTCAAACAGCTCTTTGAAAAGTGGTTGTCAAGGTTTCCTGACCGAAAATTCCATCCAATCAGCGTATGGGATGACGTCATAACTAACAGGTCTGTTGCCGTCGCTATTTTTACTGATTCACTTCGACTTTCTCACATGTGCCCAATTCAGTGCAGATTTCTCCAGTATTTTGTTTCTGCTCGTTAATCATCTCGATTGCATTGAAGTTGACACATGAGAGATTGGACTTTTGACCAATAGACGATGCTTCAATTCCATTTTTTCTCTTTTTTTTTTTCTTATTTTTCAATCTAGATGTGTTTTTATGCAAAAGATTCTTGACAGATTTGACAGCACATCTCAATGGTACGTACCTTTTGGTAGAAGATGAGTAGAACAAGCAGTAACTCTATTTAGTAGGAAAGAAGTATAATGAGAAGCCAAGGCCTTTATGTTGACTTTGATTGACTATAATGTCCTCTAAACGTAAGGAGTGCTGGGGCTTCATTAATGTTATTCATTGTTCTGTTACAGGTCAGAATCACTGGACTCTCAAGATGGAAGTTCTGGCCTTAAAAATGTCGAAAATCAAGTGAGACGTCAAAATGTCTTGTTCCACTTAGAAATTGCAGAGGCTGCCAAGGAACAGGTAAAAATAGAATTCGTAAGTGCCGCGACGCCATTTTTAATTAGAACAAAGCATGGCGGGAGATGTTTTCGCACTTGTTAGAAATAACTGCTCAAATCCGCGTTCCTTTAAATAAACAGCATAAAAACGTTCACAAATGTAACAGTTGGGAGAACAATAAAAAGTCAGCGGACTGTATTTCCCATCATGCTTTGTTGTACAAAATGGCCGCACACAGTTGGTATGAAGCATGTTTTACCAAACTCTTTCCGTTTTTCCTTACTTTTTTAATCCTAACCTTCTCTATTTTTCTTTTTTCTTGTTTGTTTGTCTTTGTTTTGCTTTGTTTTTTCTTAGTTAAACTTTCCAGTATCAACAAAGCATTTACGTCAAGCTTTGAAAGTGATTATGGAGGTAAGATTGCGTGATTATGGAGGTAAGATTGCGTGATTATGGAGGTGAGATGGCGTGACTTACTCGGATATGTAACATTTTCCATCAGTGTTCTGGATAAAAGACATCTTGTCTTTGCCCAAAAGAAACACACTTTGTTCTAAACCTCAGCTAATACTGTTAGATAAAAATGTAGTTAAACGATCATTTTTAATACAAGATTTTTTTCGTAATAATTCCACAATGTAATGAACATTATGCGTGACGATATATTGCGTGAATCAATGTTTCAGGATCTTAAAGACGAAAGTCTTCATCTAAAGTGGACGCATGCGTACACTTGTATGCAGCACAAAAAATCGCACACGCTTGCTGCGACAGAGTCAGTGGAAACTGCTATAACAACCATTGGTGAACTAGGTGAGAAGCTCGGGAAATCACACAGGTGGCATCAACGACATATTCTAGAAAAAATCATGTTTGGAAACTAAGACACTTTTTAAAGATTAAAAGATTCTTAAAAGATTATCCCCAAAACGCGTCGTTCACACGACATATCAAAGTGGCCACATGTATTTACAACTTATCAAAACATAAATTTAATATTTTTTTGTATTTGTTGTTTGTAGAAAAGTTTTCAGATAACAGGGAACTTTTACGTAATCCCGCAATGGCCTTGCGTCACCATCTACTGAAAAGTCGTACGTACGACATCGTTTATACAGCTATTGAAAGTGAAGGTACTGCTCCTATGAATGGATAATCTTAAAATTTCGACACCTTGCTGGCTGGAAATTGTTTGAACTGGCCCCTGAGTATTAATTTCTTGATTTATTCTTCTTTTTTCATCCTAAGGCGACCATGTCATTGGATCCCTAGATGATGTGCATCGACAACAGCTATCAACATTGTGTGGTAATGCAGAATCCTCTGAACAGGTGAACGGTGTACAACATCAATCCATCCTTTCATTTATTTATGCATTTATTTGTTCATTTACTTATTTTTTACTCATTCAGTTTTTCCATCCATTCGTTCTACCACTCATCCAATTTATCTTTCAATCATTGTTGGTTGTTTTGACGTAAGAAATCTTATGTATAGATTGTAAGTCAGTTGATGATTCGTTCCTTCACGTCCCTGCAAAATGCCATCAAAACAGCCAAGGGAATTGAGGAACAAAATGGACAGTCAAGGTTTGATATATATCTTTATTTTTGCTTCTTTTAATATCAATTTTTAACTGAGATTTATCAGGTACAAAAGTTTAGTCTTAATGGTATTATTCGGCTTTGAAGATTACCTTACATATGAAAATTGTGCTATGTTTTGCTTAGTTTTCATACGATTATTTATTATCAAAATACAGCAGTAGTATGRTAGAAGCCATGATGGTTATGGTGAAGTTTTGTGATTCTGTGTTGCGTAAAAGAGAAGACGGTAAGTGTTATTGATTTTATCAGTTGTTAATCAATATTGATAATTATTGACGATGGTTAATGTAATCTCTTGATTAGACTTAGAAAATGCGCCACAAATTGATGTCAAGGTAAAAAAAATATGAATGAATATTCGATTTAAATTATTAATGGAATCATTACGAATAATTAAATCAATTTTTTTTAAAAATTAAAAGTATCCTGAGCAATAAATAAAGATTTATTATTCAATCTTTTCTATCAATAGCTATTCCCTGGGATCGTGGTGCGCTACGTCCTCAAAGCMATGACATATTGTTCAGAAGAAGCACAAAGAAGATTCCCTCGTTTGCTACARCTTGTGGAAATCTATCCTGACACTCTTAATCCCTTCGTGAAAAAGGTATTCTTKAATTAKMATCAAACTTCACAAACTKTRAACMCAGAAAAACTTMAATTCGATGCCTGTTCGTTGCTTAAAAAAATTAAAGAGAAATGACTCTTTCTAGGAATGAGTCTCGATTGACTTCCMAGCATGCGTRCGTTTTGAACTCTGCTGTAAACAGACTCGTGCCCAGTCATTTCTCTTACTCGTTTTACGGGTCGCGGTGCATCAAGGGAAGTCCGAACTGTCGAGTTCCCTTGATCCTTTGCGCGCGCCAGAGAAAAATGAAGAGTAACGACTGAGTACGAGTCTGTGCTGTACACACGCGATCATCAGTCAGTGGTGCGTCTTTTATAGCATGGAGGCTTTTAAGACTTCCCTATTTGTATTTTCTAGGCGTCGATTGTACCATGTTGGATGTTTATTGGATGGATCAATCARATTGTTGCTTTAATGGATAAAAAGGAAGGACCTGCTGTACATAATATTCTACACCAGCTGGCGACCCACTATCCACAGGTAKCCCATTCCRTTTCTCACCCCTTCCCCGWACGAGAAAATTGTCCGCAYAGGGGGAGGGGTGGGGAAGAGAGGTGAATACAATCCCGTGGATATCCACCGTGTGGTAGTGATRATTAGAATGACTCACCYTYGGGAAAATGTCTCAAGCTAAAATTCGCGTTKTCTTACATTATGACCCAATATARTCRGGCTTCCTGTCCCTCCCAGGATCCAATATTGCATCCATGCAACACTATTTGCTTTATATCTGTATAGGCATTACATTGACTCCTCTACTTATTTATTTTTATTATTTATTAACTTATCATTTCCATTGTAGGCTCTTTGTTTCCCTTTCAAAATCAGTAGCGAACAGTTTAGTTTTGAAAACTCCAAAGTTGGAAAAGCCAACAAGGAGGCTGTSACCAGGTAACGATYGCTGTATTTTYATTGGCTATTAWAACGCATCACGTGTTCATTGAAATCTTTTACGTGTTGATGATCCTCTAASAATRTKGCAAAATATGTTGAAASCACGGAGAAACTGTTGTTTTCTTACCTKTTCCAGRCTTCRTTCTCTTCTTGAAAATCAACTACTTGATGATTTCATTGCCGCCTTGGAGCAACTCCAAAATCCACAGCACGCTTTCAAAGTACGTAGCTGGGTAGCAATTGCATTGAATTTAATWAAAAAACCCTGAATATTCCTAACTCTTCGTGTTTTGATAAAAGGACTGGTATGACGAAATGAAGCTGCGTTTCGACGAAGTTCAAAAAACTGGAGATGGAAGTTTGGTTGTCAAATGCTACAAGGACATGTACAAAAGATTACTGGACCATAAAGCAGCTCAGAGGTCGGCCAGGGAATCAAGGACTCAGAGTGGAGTTGAATTAGGAGCATATAGAGTGAAATTGGCCCAGGTATGGTTGTGCCATCATGTGAATTTTAGCTTATTGCTAAAAGTTGTGTTTTGTTAGTTGGCGAGTTTGGTGAGGTGTGTCGAAATACAGTCGACCATATTGACTTCTTTATTTATTTTTCAGAAAATTGCATCAGATTTCGAGAAGTGTTTTGGAAGCGATGGCAGCAAGTTGCTAGGAATGAAAGCCAAGGTATTTTCATTCCAAATCAAATAATACATGCACATTGTGACTGTCTTTTTTCCTGTTGCTAGAACTTTGATGATATTTATCGAGGTATTAAGCGAAAGATAGACAATTTGAAACTACCAGAACCTCGTGGTACCTTAAAGGAGTTTTCCCCATGGCTAAACAACTTTCAGTCCAGCAACTATACACAAAAACTCGAAATACCTGGTAAGAAAACTGATAATTAACAAACATTATCGGTTAGATGTAATTCAACAGTTATAAGGTTTACTTCCGAGTTCTGTAAACTCTAACTTTGCGCAAAATATTTCTGGTCGCTGGCCGTATAGGAATTCTGTTTTATTCTGAAGAATTGTTCTTGATTGTAGGACAATACACGGGTCGTTCAAAGCCGCTTCCTGAGTATCATGTCAAGATTGATAGTTTTGACGAAAGGGTAGTTATCACTGCACGCCATTTTGGTTCCTGCCAGATTCTGTAATACACCTTCGAACTTTTTTATTTGTTTTGGTGTCAGGTTTTGACCATGCCGTCCATTCGGCGTCCTAAACGTATCACTATACGAGGGGACGATGAAAAGGAGTACATGTTTCTAGTCAAGGGAGGAGAGGACCTAAGATTGGATCAGCGAATAGAGCAAGTAAATTCTTCTTGAATACACATGAAAATGAATGACCAATGAATGACACTTTTTTTTCCTCAGCTTTTTTGTGCAATGAATGACACCTTGAACGCTGATCCCGCATGCAAGAAACGTAGCCTGCGGCTTCGCACTTACGAGGTCATTCCCATGACTCCTCGGTAAGTACTACTACAGGAAGCCCACTTTAAGATACTTCACTTCCTTGACTCTTGACTCAATAGTCAACTTAAGATATTTTGGTTCGATGACTATGTACAAAAGAACGCACACGAGGCTCCGAGAAAACTGGATAATCTTGATTTATTCTTTTATTTCCCCGGAGCTTCGTCTGCAATTCTTTTGTGCATGGTCACTGAACCAAAATATCTAAAGTAGGCTATTAGTTAATCATTGTTCGATTGTAATTTTGCTGTTTTTTGACTAGGGTTGGTTTGATTGAGTGGATGACGAACACTAAACCACTCAAATCCGTCCTTGAAGGTGAGATGACAAGCACTGAACTACAGCAATTCAAAAGGTAAATAAACGGGCAACCTAGTAACATAGCTATCGTACCATCCCAGTGTCTACATAAGCGCCCGAATGGTCACAATAACCCTTTAAGGCGTCTTCCTTTGTTAATTCACTCGAAGAAACTATAAAAATGGGAATACATGTACAATTAAATGACGTGACACTAGGCCTTAGTTAGTTTGTCACACTTAATAAAATTACCATCTTTCATTCTTAGACTTATGCAAATGCACGACAGCTGGATCCAAAAGTACTGCATCTCGTCTACACCTCATAACCCAAAGGCAAGATATGGCGCAATGTACAGGTATTGAAAACTAACCGACCGCAAAAAGGCGGGAAAAATGGCGGGAAAATGCTTGACGCGCGCGTACTTACATGTAACTGGAGATACTCATCAACCAATCGTAGTACGCGTACTAACTTTGTTTTCTATTATTAGAAAAGGGACAAGCTTATGAACCAATCAAAGTGCACGTTTTACTTTTGTTATTTTTATCTTTAGCAAGGCAAGTCGAACGGAAACGGAAACTGATTTTCTAAAGAAACAGGGGCAGGTGCCGGGGGATATATTAAGGTATTATTTTTAAATTTTGATTTTTGCATTTTTTAAAGCTCTTAGAGAAAGCTATATAAGTACTATAAAAGCTTTATATATTATTATTGGTATATATTTTCATTTGTTTAATAAATTCTCCTTAAGTGACGATTAATCTTTCTATTCTCGTATGTTTATTCATCAGGCGAGCCTTTACCAAGTTAGCTGCATCTCCAGAAGCATTTTTGACTCTCCGTTCACATTTCGCTCGCACGCATGCGTGTTTATGTATTTGTAATTACTTGGTTGGGATTGGAGACCGTCATTTATCTAATCTAATGATTGATACTGTAACTGGTGGGATGGTAGGAATTGATTTTGGCCATGCATTTGGCTCAGCTACTCAGGTTAGTTATTACACCAAACGTCGAAGTAGCTAAAGAACCACATGCATCCGAAATCCTTTGCGCGATTTTCTCTAATTTTTGAACCAATCAGAAAGAAACTTTCAACAAGAGATTATTTGTAAAACAAAATAAACGAACGACAAGGTTCTCAGATGCATGTTCTTATAAATAAATAAGCGCACGAGTCCTCCGGGACGATGATATTAGGAAAACTGTGTTTATTTACATTTTTATTGCCGAAGTTTCATTAATATCTTCCTCCAACCACTAATAACTGTCTCTTGAATGTTGTAGTTTTTACAAGCCCCTGAGCTGATGCCGTTTCGTTTAACACGACAAATCGTCAATCTTCTTCTTCCGTTGAAAGAATCGGGTTTGCTTCGTAGCACGATGATTCATACAMTRCGTGCACTAAGAGAAAACCACGAACTACTCCTCAATACAATGGATGTGTTTGTCAAAGAACCATCGCTGGACTGGAAAGTAAGGTTCAAACGTGGATTTATTTGAGTTTTTTCAATTCATTGTTRAGTGTTTTGATGTGATTTACATGCTCGACCAAGTTAATTGGYTTACGCCGTTTTCTTTTTAAGGTATATGCTCRAAAACAAGCCGCTTCTCAAGGAATAAAAGAAGGTTTGTTACAAAAAAATTAGTCTACAGCAAAAGAGATAAATTTAGTTTCTATTACCGTTTATTAATGTTTATTATTAATGATTTTCATTAGCATTTATTAATGTTTGTTTTATCTATGTTGAGTAATATTTATTAATCGTTATCATGTGTAAACAGAAGACGAAAAAGATTCAGCGTGGTATCCTAAAGAGAAGGTTAAGACAGCAAAAAAGAAGTTCCTTGGTGCAAATCCTGCCTTCATCACCAGGTATTTCCCAAACTTCCCTCTTTTCATGAAAAGTGTTTACAATTTCATATTGTGTTGAGTCTTAAGTAAAAATTGTCGTTTGATTTTACCTGGAGTCACCTTATTCCATGTTTTATTCACGTCTACAGGGACGACATTCGTCTGGGACACGGTAATAGAGGCAAGGAGTTCGAGGGGATGAAAGCAGTTTGCCTTGGTGACAAGAAAGTCAATATACGAGCAAGAGTACCAGAAAATGGTCTGACGGTAGAAACACAGGTGGACTGCTTAATCGATCAAGCCACAGATCCTAACCTTCTCGGTCGAACCTATGCTGGATGGGAACCTTGGGTCTGAGTTGGGAAAWCCGCTTATATACTACAGACYTTAGTTTCRCTTCCTRCAGYTTATYGAAGAAATGTTGTCACGTTTAAAAACGTATATCAGTTAAGGTAGGGCCGAAGAGTTGTATGGGATGCTATTTAATGATAGGCAGGTTATTCTATGATTTGTTTATAAAACAAGAATATCATACATGTACAACTAAATTGAATTTTATTATCGTTAGTATTTCAATTATAACTGGATCATTGATCAAACACTTCTATAAATCTACTTGTTTTGAATTTGTCAAATAATAATTCTTGAGTACCTACATCAAACAATTGCACTTGTTTAAAATACGAAAAAGTAAGTATAAAAACGAGCCGTAGCCGATCGAGCTCGATAGCACAATGTTTTCTCCACTTGAGTTAGTATATAGTATTATTAACACATCGTTGCAATGTAATTAGAGCGAAAGCAGCGGTTTAGGACAATATCGTGTATGCTAGTTAGAAAAATACGTTCAATATTACGATTGTACATTTAAGATGTACAGATTAATAAATGCTTTAATAACTTGATGCGTAATTGTGTTCCATCTCGTAATTAAGCGAGAATACTCGTCAAAGAATATTTTCGCGAATTGTTTACTGTTGTTACAGACTCAGCAAGCTAATACTGCTAGTAGATTCTATTTATTATCTTCATCATTCACATTTAAATGAACTGAAATACAAAACTAATAATAATTATGTTCATGTTTTCACTCTTCTAGCGTCTTTCTTTGTAAACTAAATCAAATGTACAATAACAGTGTATAGTCGGGTTCAATTATTATTATATATAACTATGGCATAAAAACAACAGTTATACACTGTACAGAATATCAAACACCAAGCGTCCATTTATATATAGTTCTGTAAGCTAAGCGGTGAACTAGCTACTCGGAAATGTCTTCGTCCAAGGACCGATTACAGAAATAACCGGCGTTTACATGTAGAGCGATGGATTTCGTGTGGACGGGACATGTAAGCTGTGTAAGCGCTCTATTAAAAAGCCAATTATTTTCTGATGTTTACAAAGCTTCTACGTGTAAGTGGGAGCGAATTTAAGGGAATCATCTAAGGACGAGGTCATACTTCCGAGCCTTGATAGATGTCTGTGCTCCGATGTGATGCAACGGCTAAATACACCTTTTCACCCATGATAAAAAACACCATATCACGTGTCCTTCTCGATGGAATTTCTTGCACCTCGGCAAACCTCTTGGAATGATACTTATCCCACGCATAGATAGTTGGGTTAATACCGCTGCTCACTATGGCGAGGTAYGTCTTCTCTTTACCCATGTGCGCTGACGTAATGCAAACCCAGTCACGTGCCTAAGTCAAAGAAACACATTAGTTGCAATATATAAGGAAATATTCTAGTGCCCGTGAAGATCTTTTCGGTCGAGCAGTTCAACCCAGGACGCAGAGTCCTTAGGTCGATCAGGTCAGATCCCAGGAGCCGAACAGCGTCGTACCCGGAAGGTTGGACGATCCCGGGTGATCTCATCAGCCAAAATGAACCAAGGAACGTCACAGACAACGGGACCCCAAACAGATACCTAAACACCCACCCAGATCCCAGAACCCAAAACAGAAAAATATCTCAAAGCCCGACGCTTAATTCCCAGAAACCCATTTAGGTCCTATAACCAAAGTTTCGCGGCCTAAACCAGATATTTGGACCCCATTTGAACCCGAAGATCGCATAAGAATTGAATCATCGTTATATATCACACTTACTCTTCTGGAAGGTATTCTTTGGAACAAGTTAAAGGAAGTTCCAT